TTTTAGCTTATTTGTTTACATTTGTTTTGGTGTTGGTTGATCTCCCAAGCTACTATCTAAGCACTCCGGAATTGTAAGGATACTTTCCATAAAGCTGTCCTGCTCCATTCTGTGGCATAGGTAAGACCTAAATTGACAAGTGATTTGATTGCAAAGAAAAAATAAATTTAATATTTAACATGAGACTTAAAATAAAAAATTCAAAGGAATAATGTTATTTACTCAACAAGATGTTAAATTTTAAATTGTCTATGAAAAATTGTATGCAGTCCAGGTCTTTGACGCTTAGAAGTTACAATGTTTTCCGCACTGATATCTCTCTTCCCAGAGAAATGATCTCAAACATTTCAAAGGGTAAAACTAGTGGGTTTTTTCTTTTTTTTTTTTTTGAGGCATATATTTTCTGTGAAGATAAAAGAACTTTTATGAAATACGTGTAAAATTAAAAATGCCTTATTACTAGAAGGCTATTGTTAAAAATGACAGATGCCTTTACAGTTGTGAGTGGTGCTATTTTTCATTATGAAGCAGGCAAGAGTAAAATGGTTATAAGCACAAATAGCACAAATCAGAATTGCAAATACATTTCAGTGTGGAAGCTAATTTGTAAAAATATTAATGTAAAGTTCCAAAACTTTTCAAAGAGTAAAATATATTGCAAATATCAATTTCAAAGGTGTTGATTTTATTTTTTCTAATGGTTGCCAGACAAATACAAGTCATTTCGATAGTTTACAAAACTAGTGGATGCGTAACGCAAGTATAATTTAATGTGATACTCTTTGTCATATGCACCATACATCTGCACACAGCAGCAGGTGAAAATCAGTGTTCTCCTGATAACAGCAACAAAATTGTTTGTCAATCTTGATCTCTGCCAGCAACCGTTTTGATGAAAATTAAATATTCTTCATCACATCTTAAAATGTAGTTATCAAGTTACAGTTTTTTCTACTTACTGTAAATATAGTTTCATTACTATCTATATCTGTAAGCTGTTAACGAATTTTAAGTCTATGTTATTTGGATGGTATAAAACATGCCTTTTGTATCTTGCCTGCTAAAACATAGAGATTAAGGATCCTAGCACTGGATATTAGCATGTATTTTTACATGACTTATTTGAATCTTTTCATCTCTATATTTAGTTGGACTGTTAAAGTTTTTACGTGTTGATCAGACTGATATCAAGACATGAGTGTTCAATCCTGTGCTTGCAGAAGGTGTAGACAGGCCCAGGATGACATCCCAGTTAGCAATAATCTTGAAGGACCGTTTTAACAACAGTTTGGGAGTGATTTATGTGATCCTGAGTTTTCTTAGCTTTAATAAACGTATCAATACTTAAWTTTGTAAATTTTAAAAGAGAAAGGAGAAATGTGTCATGAAATGGAACTGTGCAAACTAGTACATCTCAGTTATGTGTAATTAAATATATAAACTATTACTCTGAAAAAAAATTGTTTAGAGAATGTTTTATTGTAAAATGTAATTTCATGCTGTGGCAGTATTTCCATGTTTTTCTTACTGAGTTATATTTAAGTATACAAAACACACATAGCTGCAAGCTGAGATTCAGAATAACTGATTAGGAAATATTCCCACTTGTACAACTTCATTTTTAAGTGAACAAATTGTTCATATTTTCTACAGCTTTTGCAAGTCCCCGGCAGCTTTTTAGAACTTGTCTGAGGGAATTCTGAAAGAGCTCTCAGTGATATTTCAGGTATTCAAAGGAGACACAAAATGAAATGGTATTTTCCAGTCATTCAGCCTAGACTACTACCGAATTATCTAAGAATCACAGAATCCTTAATGTTGGAAGGGACCTCTGGAGGTCATCTAGCTCAACCGCCCTGCACACACAGGGTCACCTAGAGCACGCGGGACAGGATTGTGTCCCAGCAGGTTTGGAGATCTCCAGGGAAGGAGACTCCACAACCTCTCTGGGCAGCCTGTTCCAGTGCTCTGTCACTCTCACTGTTAAGAAATGTTTCCTCAAGTCTGCCTAAATTCTGGTGCTTCAGTTTGTGGCCGTTTCCTCTAATCCTATCGCTGTCCACCACTGAAAAGAGGCCGTCCGCATCCTCCTCACTCCCTCCCTTGAGGTTCTTATATACACTGATCAGATCATATGTTTTAAAAAGTCCTTTCCAAACCATGTGTTATTAACACAAGCAGATCAAGATTTGCGTGTGTAGAGAGTTAGGTATCAGTTGCGAAGTGGCAGTTTTATTTACAGTGCAACTGTATTTGAAATGTATGTGTGGATTCCGAGCAGAGAACAAACTTAAAACGGAACTAGTGAATATCCCCTTCAAAGAGGACTGCAGCCAGAAGCAGTTACCAGCTTCATGACCCTTTGAATTACAGCACACACACTGGTCGTTCTCAACTGTTTTAACATTTTGGTGCTCTTTCCATTTGTTTTTAACCTTTTCTCTGAGAAACTGGATGTTGTATTCTCTGAATACTTGCAGCTTCAATATTTAAAAAAAAAAAAGTAGGCAGCTAGGGAATGTATTTTCTTACCACATGACAAATGACTTCACAAAGTGATTATTCCTCCCCAGAGGAAAAGCATTTTGAAAAATTCTCTTTTATTAATATCAAAGCATCAAAGGCCTTGTTGCTTAGCCGAGTAGTCTCTGATGTTTTTCATTTCTTTTCCTGTCCCTTCTCATTTTCTCTCCATGTTAAACACGGAAGACATCATTCAGCTTGTGGCAGTTACTTAGTGTATTCAGGCTGCAGTGCTGCTGTTTCAGAGATAAAAATTTAGTCATTGAACTTGGACTTAAGTTGCTTATGTATAAATAGGTTCTTGTAAGCCTTTGACATATACTGTTACAGTCCATAGAAACCTCTTTTTGTGATTACTTCTTTTCCTTAACACTGTTTGTATTAAACTGAATTTTTGGCCGCCTAGCAGTACTGAAATTTAAGTTTCACTTTTCATTTTGGGCATTCCATCTGGTGTGTACCAGTGGCCAATGAAAACAGATGGCATTAAGTTCACATTCTGCTTAAATATGTTGCACTTTAAACTGTTCTTTTTTGCCTTTAATGCTTTGCTTCATAATTTCATAAAAGATAATCTACTTAATCTTTCTGTACATACTTGCATATGTCGGTATATAGATAATGCTAGAGCCTTAGGAACATCTGCCAGATAGCTGTTAGCATCCCTCCTTTTGTGAGCTTATCAGTATGTGAAACTAAAGGTGACAAAAAGTTTACAGTACTTGATTTAATAGGTCTGTTTAATATTGAACAATTTGGTACAGAAATGTTTCCTTTGCTTGAATATGAATTAGATTAAGAAAGGCCAAATTAATGTTATATTACAGAGCTAAAACACTAATTTGCTGTATATTTGAGAAATTAAATAATCTTACAGTACATAAATTCTTAATAGCTATTTATGAGTTTAGTAACAAAATAAAGTGTGTTTATGCAATATAACATTTTGTGTTATTACAGACATAACTTATTTATATGTTCTTTAAGAAACTGTGCTTAAAGGCTGCCCTCATCTCCCTCCACATGTAGAAGGAGACTAAGATTAACTCTTAGGACTACTTTATGTCTTTCCTTCATATCTATCTGTTCCTCTTGACCTTTTTACAGTTTAAAAGTTTTGTAAATGAGGTAGTAAGTGTTTATTAGGGATTCAGAAGATTAGCTTACTCCTTTATTTTTTTGAAAAATACTTCATTTTCTGTAGCTATGTAGGAGTTTTATAGGAATTGGAGTTTTAGGTCTCTGAAGAATTTTCACGGTCTATGTACAGATGCAAGTAAGATGTAGCGACTGAGAACATGGTTTATTTCTACAGCTTAATAATCTGCTGTGTTTCAACATGTGCACATACTCAAGAATTGCAGATCCTTGCTTCTCATTAGGTAGAACTAGAGAAGTAGACATTTTGTTTCAGGATTTGGTTAGGGACTCAAAAAAGAAATCCTGTCTTTGGAATTTACATCAAAATTACTTACAGAGGTTAAAATCTTGCCTGCTTCTGTTTCCTTTTGGTCTTTGGCCTGTAAATTAATTTAGTTGGGGTTTTGTTCACTGAACATCTCCAAAGTGCAGAATCTGCAGAACTGTCTGAAAGATCTTGTTCATTGGATGAAAAAGTAACATGTTCCAGCTTCATTTGTTCTCCTTGTACAAGCACTTCTTTTTCCTTATTTTCTCTGGAAATAGGGTAAATATGCCTGGCAAATGGGAAACTGGATACTTGATGTCATGGTTGTGTGATACCCTTTATATAAAGCTTCATTTTGAAATAATTAATTCTTGGCATTAAATGCCTCCAAAGTTACAGTGTTCTTAAGAATCTCTGATTCTGTTTTAATGAAGTATTATTAAATTTCAAATATCACAGAATTTGATAAATGTGATGATCTTGAGCCCTTTCAGAACTGTATTAGTATTTATAACATGATACAGAATTCTTTATGCAAGTAAAGCATGAAGAAAATTGAAATTTTKGGGGGGAATGGAGGCTCCTGGCTAACATTCAAAGTGACTATCAGTGCCGGTTTGTGATGCGAGCTGGTAATCTGAGCATTTGCTCATAGAGCACTTTAAAATGCTTTTAAGTACTCAGGGAATTTACTCTCACAAACTGTCCAAATATATTTAGAAATTACGTGCGTTGTTATTGGGGAAGTTGTACAAAGTCTTTAGGAGATTTGTATTTGTAAAGGCAGTCTTTTGGGGGAGAAGGTTCCACATGCCCAGCTCACAAAATACATTAATTTATATATCTCTTTTGGCTAGTGCTGTATAAAATTATACCTGGAATCTGAAGCAGCTACCCTGTCACCTGTTTAATGTAGTTGTCTTACAGTGGTTCTGTAGGATGTGCTTTAGATTATTTCTTTTGCTTAGATAATTCCTTTTTTTTTTTTCTTATTGTTATAAAGAATAGATAAATAGCAAAAGCATTTTGTGTTACGTAACATTGAATTTCAAATATATTTTCTTTCTAGAGAACTAGAGGACGAAAACGAAGCTTTGTGCCCGAGGAAGAAAAACCTGAGGTTGGAATATAGTGTATTTTTTTTTTAAAACAGTTTCACAAAAAAAAAAAAATTAAAACTTCAGGTTGAAATGTTACTTTCAGTACTATAATTGAAAATATTTGCTTTCCTCCCCTCCTTTTCCCCCACTCTTTTCTTTTGCCTCCTTCTGTGACAGGAACGRATTCCTAGAGAAAGGAGACAGAGACAGTCTGTTCTTCAAAAGAAGCCCAAGTCTGAGGATTTAAGGACTGAATGTGCTACATGTAAAGGGACTGGAGACAATGAAAATCTAGTCAGGTAGGTTTAATGCTCTGGCCTTTTGAGGATTAAATTTCCATCCTCCTCCTCTTACTTTTTTTTTTTTTTTTTTTTTTCCCCATCATGATTATAACAACATGTGGCTTTTTTGGGTTTTTTTTTGTTTGTTTTGATTTTTTTTTTTAAATGACTTATTTAGAGGAAACATTGATTTGATTCACTTACTGACTTGCCACACACATTGACACATTTACACTGTGGATTAAGTTGTAAATAAGCAAGGTAATCTGTTTTTCTAACACAAGAGAATTCATTTCCTCTTGTCAGGGTAAATTGTCAATGCTTTATAGTAGGTCAGAAAGATAAACCAACAATTTAATGATATTAAAGCTACAGGACCATCCTAAAAGTAATTAAATTAGAATCATTAACAATGTTACAAACTGAAGCATGGATTATGGGAGTTTATGTTTTTAAAAAATGGAATAATGCCACCTTCATTAATGCAGATCATGAAAGTGTTCAATAATCATATTTCTCATCTGAAACAGAGAAGTAAAAAATAAAAACCCATTGGATTGTTTAATGGTTAGTAGTTGCAGGAGTGTAATTCAAGCATAGAATAAGTCCTGTTGAATATCTATTGTTGACCACAATATCTTCGCTGATTTTGACTTTATAGTTGCATTGCGGTCAGCTGTAAAAACTGCTTCCTCTTTTATTGAAAGGAATAATGGTGTTTGGTAACCAGAAAGGAGACTAAAATTGAATCAACTGAACTTTGAATAAAACAATCTCATAGTTAATTTAGATAAAACTTAGTATTGTAGTTAGGCCCTATATATTTCAGTTGTATTTTTATGGGCAATATTGGTTTAGATTAGGCTAGGTTTAGATTGCTGTTTTTTTTGGGAAGGGTTGTTCCCAAGTACATGGTCACATTTATTTCAAGGAATTAGAGATATGACAAACAGAAGATACATCCAAGCTGAAAGTAGTTTTAGAATGAAAGTATCCAAGATATATAAGACATATGCTACTCACAGTGGCTTATGGTAGTGTCTAAACTACTGCATCTCATTTCGCTTAGAAGTGGATATCATTTCAAGGATCCCATGCCAGGTTGTAGTTTTCTTTCCAAATTTCAGGCACATGCCTCATCAGTATCTGGAAGATATTTTATATATATATATATATATATATATGCATAAAAAAGCTACTTCTGCGCAGTCTACTGTGTCCTGCACACAGCAGCAGACAAGGCTTTCATCAGCCTTACTGCACATAGGCCAGAATTTCCCTAGGGGTTGTATTTGCGGTACGTACCAGAGGAGAGGGACCCTCAATTTGCATTTGATTTATTAAATATTGACATTGTTTACTAATTTTGACTTCATAGTTTTGCAAGTTAGACATAATATTAAAGTCAGTGGTCAGAACAGTCTGCAGAAAATAAATAGATACAAGAAGCTGGAACTACAGCATATATAGAGTGCTTTACTGTGAAAAAGGCAGTGAATTAGCTGAGCTTTTTTTTTTTTTTAATTCAGGATTCTTTTTGGAAGTGTTGAATGTTATATTTAAGAACCTAATGGAGAACCTGAGGAAATATTGTTAAGAGATGTAATTTTTTAGAAGATAAGTAGAAGAGTCAGTGAAAAGTTAATTGAAAACGTTCATTAAAAATAAGTAGAAAGCTGATCTGTAGCATTATGAAAGACTGTTAAGAAGCTATATCCTTGATTAAAGTAACACTTCTTTCGTATCTCTTTTCATCCAAATGAACTGTAGTTGAGTTTTGAGAATCATGGTATTATAATGTAGAGCATGTTTTGTATTTTCAAAAAAGCACGTTAATAATTGAGGTAGATAATTTTATCATAAGGCATAGAGAAGCAGCACTTTTTTGAGATGGTCRTAAAGAAGTTACAATGTGCACTTGATAATAAAGCAGTGAGAAAACAGAGACTACCTACAAAAATGGACTTCTAACCTTAAACCAAATAATGGAAAGTTTTTCGTGAAATGGAGGGCACATATTTTTAAATGTGTTTTTTTGTTTTTGTTGTTTTTGATAGTTTTAGTTTTGTCTTAGGATAAAAACTCCTTTAAAAAGAGAATAATTTTGAAAGATATATTTGTTTTTTCAAATATATAGAACTGCTGTGTTCTAGAAAACAAAGCACTATGTGATGGTAGTTTTCTTTTGTTTATTTTGTGGTGTGAATCTTCTAAAGTTGTATACAGATCATACATTTATTAGTTTTTCTGAAAGCTTTATTGCAGTCTTACAGGAATTACTTAGAATTCTAGATCCTTTAGAGGAATTGCTTAACTCCTAAGTATCTCCTTAACTTTTTTATTAGGTCATAACTCAGTAATTCACGTCTTTATAAAGTTCTTATCATACACCCTAAGAGCTCCCTTGGAAATTTAAACATATTTAATAGAAACATGGATAAAGTGAAGTGTATATAAAGTGGCTTAATAGGTAATAGGCAAAGCTTGCTTTCCATTTAGCACAGTACCACTGATGGATCTATTGCAGCGTGCACACAAAGTGATAACACAAAGATCCCCTGTTCGGCCTCATATATCTGTCTGTTCTGTTTTTGTTTAAGAATAAAGTTAAGATGAATTGTTTATTTTATCTGAACACACAAAACAATTTTTAAAGAAAATTCTATCTGATAATCTAGTATAAAATCTTCCAAAGGAAGACTTCTGAATTACTTCTTGAAGAAGTAGCTTCTCTTTTAAGAACAGCTTGGTACTTGACTGTGTCTATTTAAAAAGTACAACTTCTGTTGTTGGTTTAAAATGTTCATGGATAATATGTAGTGAATTAGATAAGATTGCTATGTAACATTAGATTTGAGAAAGGGCAATAAAATGATGCTAGTGTTTGCACATGAGGCAAAGTCATAGACTTGCGCTGGTCAGGTTAAAGTCTCTGAAGTAGCATTAGATTTTATTATCCAACAATTTAAAGTCAGCATGTAACATATACTCTTTTCTAATTTTGTGTGTTGAGTTATTTTGCTTTCCTGGTTAAGTTGGAAGTTTTTCTTTGTTTTAATTTGTATCAGCTGGTACAAAATTACTACTTTCGCAATTCAGAGAGGGTACAATAACTTAGGAGATGTTTTTGAAATGATACAGAATAGGATTTTTTGAAAGCGTAGAATTGAAAGCTGATAATAAAGTATTCATAGAGTGTAAAGCTGAGAAATTAATAAGCCTATATATAGTAATTATTTTCATGCAGATGCTTACTAAGAAATTAGCAGATTTGAAAGTACTTATTTATACCAATATGCCAAATCTCACTTCAGGCGAGTGTAATCCCCTGTCTGTGGTGTTATGGTATTGCAGCAGATCTGGAAGGGAAAGATGAAGAGTAGGAAGACGAGGAAAAATATTTTTTATTATTTGCAGTATTTATTAAAGAATATAACCCATCTGTAAAAATGACTGTAAAATTTGTTGTAACTCTGGTTCATTAGGTCACTTTACAACTGAAAACATTAAAAAATATAGGCAATGTATGCAATAGTGGTGTTGCAAATGTACTCATCCTATTTAAGATAATTTGTAGTGTATAAAGAAAAATCTTTAGTTCTAGGAAGTCATCTCCTGCACTTCTGTTTTGACAGGAATTGTAATCTAGACCAGCTGCTATGAATCCTCTGAAAATATTTGCTTTGGAACTATTATCTGCCATATTTMATTAGTTGAATTCATCTTGCTTAGGTTCATCTCTGCATTTCTATTTTTTGCAGAACCATTTCCACTCATGCCTGCATTCACATTAAAGATTTGATCTTCATCTATTAGTCAAATACCAATTTTGAAGTTCTAGCTCACTTGAAGTTTATTCTGCCACAGCCACATTAATCATTAAATATTTTAAATACACTGCAACAAATTTAACGACCTGTTGTAGTAACTTAACGCTTATGATTTTCAGAATGTCCGCTAAAGCTGTCTTTAAGAATACTGATGAAGAGATTAATTACAGGGAAATAATAGTTAATTTGGACATAGTTTGCAATAAGATCATGTTTCACAGGTGATTACAAATGCAGTATTTTTTTTTAATGAAGTACTTGAATGAAAGAAAGCTTAATATAGCTTAAGAAACTTAAACTTTCAAGCTTAAGAAAGCTTAAGAAAGCTTAAAAGTAGCATAGTTTATGTGTACTGTGTAATTTACAGGGCTTAATTCTGCATGTTATTTTTTTCTTGTTATTTGTTACCTATTCTCTGCTTTTCTATCATTAACCTCATTTTATTAYCTTCTGAAGAGTATTTCTTCTTACTGTAGATGGCAAGAGAAAATACAAGTAATGACAAACATACATATTTTCTTCACAGAGGACTTTATTCAAATGGAATTACCTTTGCTGCATTGCAGAATACTGTAAAAGACCACAGATTTTGCACAGCTTTTGGTCTTGCAGTAGGTTAATCTATTGTGGCAGATACTCAAAAAGAGCCATTGGCACCATGATGCTTACTGCTGAGGCACCGAAAAACCAGGCAAAGCTCAAAGTCGTATTGTGTTCTCTAGGAACAGAAAGCAGGATACGTTTGCACTTGGAGTACCAGCTACTAGAGCTACATGTGCCTTCAGCATTTGAATCTGTACTGTAAAACTTCCTGGACAGGCTCTTTAGTATTAACTTCTGTTACGTGGGCACCTGGCTTCTGTCGGCGATACCCCTCTGTGCTTTGTTGAATGCCATTGTCTCTCATTTTCCTGAGACTAGAGATCATAATCTGTGTAGAAACCTGGATTTTCTTTTTCCCCCTCTGTTGCTTAACTATGTGGCTCTTAAGGAAATCTTAGCTACATAAAGAACACGAGAACCTCAGTTTTTTTTTTTCTTTTTTTCCATGTCTACTGTGGTTCTTGGTACTATGTGATCTTCATATAAGATCTGTTTCCAATCAATTCTGCGATGTTGTGATTAGAAAACCAATTTGAAAAAGCTGTACAGGGTTTTTAGTGTTACTTCTGTGTAAAGCTTACTGTT